GCATCATGATGAAATGTACACTAGTAAACTTATTAGCACAAAATTAATTTCAAAGGCGATTGAAGAAGGTATTTATTATAACTAATACTGTATATTGAATTTATGCTATATATATTGATTTAGTTAAAATATTATTTGTTTATTTAGATTCATCTCATACTGACTCTACTCAGATTAAGCTTGATATTACTAAATCTTGAAAACTTCGTATGTATACAAATAATAAAATGCTCATTAAATTTGGATATATGGGTGTTGAGAAATCATCGTTTAAAATTTCAAAAAGTAAAAATTTACTGATTTTAGATTTTCTTTCCAGATATTTCTAGCTTTTTCAAAACTTCTAGCGAAGGTTTCTCGATAACCACTAAAGCAAATTCAATGAATTTTTTTTTATTTTAATTTTATAAATATATAGAACTAAAATAAAAAAAGTTGTACTAAATTTGATCAGATGGTTACTGAAAAATATTCGCTAGAAAAGTTCAAAGAAATTCAAAATTTTCGACAGGTAAGACCGTTGATGTTATACGACTGGTTTTTCACAAATCATTCCGCCAGTATAATCCAACCCAACACCATTTTTATTAGTAAAAATATTATTTTTTTTATATGTTGCAAAACCGCGTGAAAAATCAGTCGTATAACATCAACGGTCTTACCTGTAACCCTAGTCGCTAATAACATATATTTAGTAACTAAATATATGTTGTTAACCGAAATTCGCGCTGAATTCACCGTCACGAGACCCGAAAACGTGACGGAAGACCTGATTCGATGCACTGAAGAACCTGACATAAAATCGCGAAGAAGTCGTTCTTGAGAAGTTACAGGCCACGAAGAAAAGAAGAATCGGGATTGAACTAATTTAGGGTTGGGGCGGTGCCAAAAAGCTTAGTCTGAAGAGGCAAAGCGATGGTTGCCGGAAAATGGCGTAATACTGCGCGATGGGCTTAGATTAGAAAAGTTCGATCTCATTCTTTTGTTTCTCCCCGCATGTAAAATATTATATAATGGGCTTGTTTCGCCCTCTAATAAAGAATGACAGAGTGTGTTCATATTTATTCGTCTTTGTCCCCATTTATATACCCGATACGTCTTACCTTGCCAAATCTTACCACCTCTAACCATTGGGTACATCGTTAGTTGGTTGTGTTGTTTTGGTGGTGATTGGTTCGCTTGTGTTGACGCCCGGTTGCCTCCAACAATGTACTATTTATTTGTTTATATGGGTAAGTATAAGCAGGGAATTTATTTTATTAATAATATTAAAATGGGTCATATTAAACATTTTGATTATTCTAGTCTTTTGGCTTTGATATACTTCGCATGCCATATTGGCGTCCCACGTCAGTATGTCAAAGGTAGTAAAAAAAAAAAAAAAAAGTTTGATATACTGAAAAATGTTTAACTCGTATTAAAAAAAATAGTATATCAGATATATATTCTATTATTATATTATATAAAAGTAGAAGAGATATGCATTGTCAATTCTCTATCCACTAGAATGTTTTATATTCAAATTCTAACTTATTTAAAAAAAAAATTATATAAGAAAATTATCTAAACAAATCTAAGAATTTTTTATTTACCAAACGTGGATATAATTCTAAGACCACATTAAAATTTAGATGCGTGGAAGAATTAGTTGAGACTCATCGTATTAGAATATTAGAAGTTCTTTCTACTCCTGCTGCTTGATTATGGCAATTTAAAACTCTAAAATTCGCAAATTTGTTATTTAGACCTGGTTTACGATATGTACATGGATTTATACATTTTAGCAGCATTAAAATTCTTATACGTAGCTGAATAGTATTAACCTCCTAGTTATGTCAATTACATGAACTAATTTTTTTTTTATTATAATAGACTGAAATCATTGAGGGTCTAAACGAACGGGGTAATAATTTATCATCTTACTTATTCAAAGTATTCATTTTTCATGTATACTTTAATCACCACCAAACTTCGTTCTTTCACTTTTTTTTGTCCAGATCTTAATGACGTTAATTTTACCTGCAAAATATTATAAGTGATATAATCAAAGAATAGAATACCAGTCAAGATAAAAATACTATATTATTTTTAAAGTAAATTACATTATTAATAGGTTTCGTATACCATCCAGTTATGATATAGATAATGATCAGAAATATATTGAACTATTAGAATCAACAATCCAACAATGACCAATCTAACTTACTTGATAACACAAACTCACATTTTAATGTACACAAAAACCTAGTGATTATCTAGGAGTAATTGAGATTGATCTTTTTTTTTATTTATATACATATTTAAAATTTAAAATATTTTCATTGTTATTTACAATCTACACAACAAATCTATTATATTCATCGATCGATTAAAGAATAAATCATTTGATTTGTAGAATTTGTAGAGTGATTCAAAGAATGTACAGATGTATGTTTACCCTTAAAAAGATGGAACGCATTTTCGTTAAATAGTTATATTATTTGTTCTTTTCTTATTTTCTTGGGCCATTTTTAGTAATGATATCATCGTTTGACTCCGATACTAATTTGTTTATTTGATAGTTGCTAACGGGCATTATTCTAGGTGAGCGTCACCAATCTCGGTTTTTTTATTGTTTCGTTAATGTTCGGACTTGTGAAAAACGTGCCCTTTAAATATTGACATATTTGATTTTTTCATACATACGCACGTACATATCGGGTGATTTTTGGAAATCACCTGATATGAACAGATAATACTGTATGTACGCATTGATTAAATAAAACTTTAAGCACAATCGTGGCTAATTAAAATAATAATTTAGATGCCGCAAATTTTGAAATTTAGAGCATGAAAAAAAAAAAATTTGATATTGATATTCAGTTTAAAAATATTCAATTTATCTAAAAATAATTTATCAAAGGGAAATTTTAAGTGAGAAATTATACAATTTCAGAATTTTATATTATTATTCGTCCGAATCGACATTGATCAATATCGAATATAGTAAATTTACCAATTCGGCCGAATAATCAATTATTCTAAAATTTATGAAACACCCCCCTGTGGATCCACATTTACTAATATGTAAAATGATTTTTGACTGTGCTAATCAAAATTATTTCCATGTCTAATAAGGTGCGTCAATAGTGAATGAAATGGAGTTAGACGCGTTATCGATATCGATATAGATTAGAGAGATTCAAAAAATTTTTAATATTGGATTCATCAACATATAATTCGAAGCATTTGAAATAATAATCGGTCAAACTTCACGTGATCATTCCTCCTTCATTAACCGGTTTACCATCGGTTTTTTCTATTAGAATGCTTCAAAGGCATAAATATACTACTACAAATATTTGACTTCAAAAAACTATATAACAATGAATATGTGCATTCATTATTACATTACATGACTACATGACTATATTTCAATTCAATACAGCAATAATAAACTTTGAACAACTGCGTCATCATTGCATGATGCAAATTTTAAGGTAGTTACATACGTATTGTGGATATATATGATAGCATAACCCCATTCTCGTTCTTATCTGTAAGAACCGGGACGACTTTTTTTGGTTGACTTGTGTAAGGAAAAAAACGCGAAGGTATCATGATTTTGAATAACATTCTAAAAAAAAAAAAAAAAAAAAAACCGGAATAAAATGATAATATATCGATAGATGCAAAAATCAATAACAAGAATTCTTGAGTGTAACGCAAAGTGATCGATTGACTTAACATATATGTAAAATAATGGAATCATGAAATCAATATCTCTTTTCCAAAAGATATTCCATATCAATATCGATATATACAACTGCAACGCGTTTTCATTCTGCTCTAACTTTGTCTTTATTATATTATCATTTATCTTTTTAATAATATAAATGTTGTCAGATAAAAATAAAGTTACTGAAGTTCACAAATTAATGAATGTATTAAGGCAAAGAGGTTGCGTTGATACTCTTGAACATGTGGAAACTAAGACAAACCTAGTAAATATGGTTAATGATTCTTATGAACAAGGAATTTTTCTGGATTCTATACCATTTGAATATTTCAAAAGATATAATAGAGCTTTAACTTATTCCGAAAAATTGGTTTGTTATTATTCATGTATATTTTCATGTATATAACACAATTCATTTTATCAGTTATTAGAATGGCGTATAATTTTTTTCTGCTATTATTGACAGCATGTAGAAGATATTGAGGAACACATGCCAGATGTATTTTATATAACAAAAATTGGACCAGGATCAATAGTTCTCAAGATTCAACCTCATGTGCGATGTATGTTGGGGACAGATGAACGTAATAATCAAAAGAACAAAGAACAATATACACGTTGTTCTTCTCATTCCTCTTCATTAAATGATCAAGTAAAAGAATTTTATCGTCAACTTAATGAAAATAGTCAAGAAAATTATCGTTCTAGAAATCATGATAAATGGGAAGATAAAAAAAATTCAAGGAACGACGATGATTATAAAAAAAATTCAAGGAACGACGATGATTTGAAAAAGAATACAAAAGGTCCACCATGGACGAATCCTTATGGCAGTTTGCCACCATATTTTCAGAACGAGAAACATCAAGATGAAAGGTATCAAAATGATCATAGGAAGAGAGAAAGAAGTTATGATAAATATTCACCTGAACGACCATTAAGAAATTCTTACAGGGATTTATCACCCAGTGAATGTTATTTGCAGCATGAGTATGATAGTAGTTATGACCAAAATTATGAATCCACTATTAACAGAGACAAAATGGAAAAAACGACAAAACTTGTAAAAACGGCAGATTATGTGAAGAAAAATGACTCGGAAAAGATTAATGATAGATCACGAGAAAGTGGATTTGAAAAATACCGTGAATTGGTGAAGAATTTTCATGGAGTACCATTTTTTATTTTACGAGAAGATGCTCCTAATCTTTCTGAAATTCAAAGGGTTGCTTTAGAATTACTCTTTTTGTGAACAATTCTTTGTAATTCTTTGTAATAGCATTTTTTCATTTTCTAATCTTTCGTAAATTCAAAGAATTCCTCTTTTTGTGAAACAATTCCTTGTAATTCTTTATAATTCATTGTATGAATTTTTTACTTATACGTAGTTACTTGATTTTCTTGTAAACAAACCGAATTAAAAAGTGCAAAGCTAAAGCAGATCCCAGTCTAATCATATATTTTTAGTCCAGTTTATTCACTTATTACAGTATTGCAAAAATAATTACGACTAAACTAGCTTAATTATGAATAATTATTTTGTTGTATTATTACAATTATTACGTCAGAATTTTTTTTTTTGTGTATAATCCACTCCGATTCTAGTAAAAAAAAAACTTCGGCCTTTTCTATTTTATTTGGGTATAATGTTTCGGATATTTACAATAACTATAATACCACATTATTGATCATTTATGCAATTTCTATTGTTTATTGGCGCAAAATTAACCCCATACAATTGATTGAAATTTCGGCATAACTAAGAGTTTGTTGTAATATATTAAAAATACGTACACGTACAGTACAAACAAAGTATATACGTACAAACAAACATTAATTCCCTGATATTTCAAGTATCTACATTAATATGTTCAAGTTACTTATATAAGTGCGATGTGTACTTTGAAAAATTTCAGATCGGCAATTAGCGTTAAAAAAAAAAAAATTTTTTTTTTTCTTCTTATTAAACGATAAACCAAATTCTTTATTAGAAAATTTTTAATTAAATAATATTTTACTTTACCTTAATTCATAATGACGTTCATACCACGAAATAGTCAAATCCACTTTTATAAAGATGGAGATATTGAATTATTAGTAGAAAAAATAATATTTCGAGTTCACAAAAATATTTTAACTCTTTCTTCACAATTCTTTAGTGGAATGTACCAATCAGCCACTCCTTCTATTGAAGATCTAACTGCTATCTCCAATACTGGTATTTCGATCCCTCGAGTTGAATTACGAGGTGACGCTGCACCTGATGTTGAAAAATTATTATCATTCCTTTATCCAAATACTTATTTCGAAATTAGTTGGAAAGATGTAGCAAATTTATTAAGATTGGCTGATAAATATATTGTGGAAACTTTAACTACTGCTTGTATAGCTTTTTTAAAACGTTCATATCAAGAAGAACCATTACAAGCTTTAAAATTAGCTGAAGCTTATCAAATTTCTTCTGTATATAAAGAATCTTCAAAATTGGTATTGAATGATTTCGAAAAATTCTTTTATGCACCTCAAAATTTGGAAGGTCTATCTATATCAACTCAAAAAAAATTAAAAGTTCAAAGACAACAATACGTTGAAGGTTTGAACAAATTGTATTGTGTAACGGTCGACAGAAGGTTTCCACCTTTAACTGCTGAACACCTTAGAACGAAATTTGAAGAATGTGTTAAAGATATTTGTACTTTCCCATTTCAATCTCCTTCATACTCTTGGATGAAATTACATCAAGTGGATTGTTCAAAGCATTTTGAGTGCAGAGAAGAATTAAGACGATTGAAACCATTTATCCATGAAAAGATTGTTTCATTTTTCGGCGCTGAGTATGAACCTTTAGCATGGATGATTAAGGCACCAAATTTCGATGCTGCTACCGAATTATCTTATCCATTTATTGAATTAAGAGATGACTAGAATTGATATAGAATATAATTGGAAAAAATTTAATTGAACGTTGTTGGTTGTTGGCTGTTGGCTGTATTGTTTGTATGAAAAAAGTTGTTGTAATTTTTTACTTGTATTTTTTTTTTTTTTTTATTGTAGAAAACTTGGGTGTAAAATCATTGCATATAGATACAGTAGCTTTCGTTGAATTGTAATCTTTGAATATGTTAATATAAATTGATTTGTATATATTATAATTAAAATATTTAAAATGTATAAATATATTCCTATAAAGACTTATTGAATATATAAAAGTTTTACAAAAGAATGCTTAAAAGATAATCCGTCACTGAAGTGTAATGTTGGGTTACAAGTATACTGTAAGTAGTTTTTACTAATCATATCTTCTTAGCAGTCCGGATTCATTAAAACTGGCCTGGTATATTACATTTTACTTGCGACTAAATGTAACCGAAGAAATTTATATGTAAAACTCAATATATTTTGACAATTTACTACCATTTACCATTAGAATCGGAAAACTTCTCTACAACCTTACAAAAAGTAAAATAATAATAATAATAATATAGTCTTGTATTTTAATATTATAGTAAACTGCGCCGATGATATTGACTCGTCGAGTAAGACGACGTGACAAACATAAAATAAGTAGACAAGAGGAGAATGCCCTTTCCTAGGCCAAAAAAAAAGACATTTCTTGCTCCTAAAAGAAAGGCATACTTGTAATGTTCATAAGTAGTAATAGATAGGTGAATTCTTTTCTTGATCAACTACTATATTTCGAATGTATAATTCGCGAAGCTATAATATCATCCCCTATGTAATTAAATTTTGCCTTATAAATCCCAATCAGTCTGTCACTCCTTCCCTTAAAGCCATTAAAAGTTATAATAAGAATCCTCCATCCCTCGTGATGTTATCATATGAACAAAATATATCGAGGACAATTTCTACTGTGCTTTTCTGAATCAACATACCGTACATCACAAGAATTTATTAGGTAAATTACTTAACTACCAAAATTTGTAACGTTACCGCTAGAAATGCTGGTAAAATTAATTTCACCAATTTCAAATTTCATCAATAGTGGTGTAATTATTTCATTACTCTAATTTTATTTACCACAACTTTAGTAACCACCCAAAAAAATTTCAAATTCTAAGATCAGGTAACGCCAAAGAAATACAAAAAAATCAATCCAACTCGAAAATTGCTAACTTACGAAGCGTACTAACAAAAGTTTTCCCATGAAAATCTGGCATAACTATAGCATTTTTAACATAATAAGAATAATAAGAGCGATGCCTAACTCCAATACAACAATTAAATTTTTTTTTTTAGAGAAATAGAACTCCATAGATACTATTAATTCACGATTGTTAACTTTGTTTATTAGCTACAACAAATAAAAATTCTTGGCAAAATATGAAAATAAGGAAAAACATATGTCAATATGATTAAGCTTACACGATTAAATGATTTTTCAAAATTGTAATTTAGGTAATACCTAAAAAAAACTTTAAAAAATCTTCCATCTTAGAAAAATTATTAAGAATTAAATTCTTTTAATTAATATGAATGCCATAAATTTATTCTCACTTATTTTAGTTCATGCTTTACTAGCTCAAGCTGGTTCAGACTTTAGTGCTTGTTTGTCTAGTAGTATATATAGCACACTATCATCGTATGTTGCTAATATAGCTGATAAACAAAGCTTTTGCTGTTCTAGTACTCAGTGCGGTACTAAATCACCAACCTGTCCTTTTATTTTGGAATCTCTTGATGGTCAATGTATTAAAGTTGGACAATCGAAAGTTTGTGTTGTTCAGGGTCTTTATTTTGGTCTTCCAGGTGATGAATGTGGTGGAATCATAGGAACAACATCACCGACTAACATTACTGTCGGTACTTGTCCTAGTTATGACGCAATAGGAAACGCTTTGGTTGGGTCAGCAACAGCTCCTACTTTAGTTGGTTATGTTGTGATAGCGGTTCATGCACTGTACCAGTTAACGTGGTGGTAAGTATTTTATTGTTGCTGTTTTCATAACCATAAAATTTCATTAATTTTATAATTTATATATTCGAAATAACTATTATTAATTTTTATTTCTGTTTTAAATAAATTCATTAGATTAATACCAATCAGGCAACTACAAATTGTGCAAGCACTCAGTATAGTCTAATGTGCTTTAAGGATAATGGTGGTTGGTCATGTACTGGTTCTATTGGATCTGTAATTGCTGATCTTACTCAAGCAATCGGGGACTGCACATTGCAATTATTATTACCAAGTCAGCCTTCTTCTTCTTCTTCGAATTCTATTCTTTCAGGTATATTCGCTTAAAATTTAAAAAAATACAGTACTCTTTAATCGTGTGAATGGTAAATATGTTGGTGAAATAGAATTTAGAGTAATCACTGCCATCGTTATTGATGAAACTCGTAAAATTGATTTCAGCATCATCTTGAGTGATTAATATGATATTATGCACGATTGATTTGTCGATAAACATTTTTATTATCCTTTGCTTTGTTCTGAACTAATTATTCTTTTTATTATATCAGATATAGAATCTTCATCTAATAATGGACTATTTATTGGAATTGGTATTGGAGTAGGTGTAATTGTATTGATTGGTTTGGTCAGAGTTTTCTTATATAAACGTAAAATGCGACGCAAATATATTCAAACACCCGGCAGTTTGACTGATACACGTAATATGCCACCAACAACCGGCAATTTAACTAATCCACATTTGCGTTTTTCACATGCTCCACAACCCGGCACTGTGACTCATATACATTTATCACCAACACCTACTAATACACATCATATAAACTTATCACCTACCCCAGTACCCGCCAAAACTTTAAAATAGTTATTAGCCGTTAGGCATGCTACTTATTATTTTGTTATAAGATTTATATCTAAACGTGATGATTTTAAATACATACTTAGATTCAAAGCTATAAATATTAGCGGCTTATGTAAACTTTGATCTAATAAAATTTCTGGACAATATTATCTTTTAAAGCATTTTTTAAATCTGAAATATAAGATTAAACACTATTACTAATATATTGATTTTTGCGAAAATTACTACTATAATAATTACTTGTGAAAATTTTCCTTGTCAGCATATTGACGTAATATCAAGTATTTATCTGTTTTTATAGGTTTAAATTTTATAAATTTTTCAAATTGACATTAATTAAAAACATAAACTTCGGTTAATGTTATAGTAAGGTTCTCTTTAATAAAGAAGAGGACGAATCTAATCGTACTGTATTTATATTCCGGCTTGTCATAAACAATAGAAAAAAAACCATTTTACTGTAAAGGAGTTATTAAAAATCTATTTTTTCATTAAACTTTTAAAATTAAAATGATAGGCAAAGCTACTCTTTGCCGAGTTTGATTTCGAAACAAATCCTGATCTTTACAAATTGCAGGAATCTATAAGTGCGAAGAGAATATTATTAATCCAAAGTATCTTTGCAAAGTGATATTTCTAAAACATAATAAAAAATTTAATTTTATTATTCCTGATGTTTAGGATTAATATATTGTTGTTTTCATAAATGTAATTTAGTAAATTATAAATTATATTAAATAAAATGATACAATTGATAATTTAATGCTACGTTAAAACTTTTTATATGATACAATAATTTTTTTGATATATATTTTAAAAAAAAACTCGATAAACATTCAAATATTCGGTCAAAATCTTTCACCGATGCTCAATATTTTGCCAAACGATGCCCGAACAGATTCCAATCACTGGTAGAATCGTTAAAACTGACCTAATATATTTTTGCGAACTATTGGTATTTTACATTTTGCAAATAAACGTAGTCGAGGAAATTTATATGTCAAAGCTAGGGTGAGTGGCATGGAGGTCATGGGCATGCCGATTGTGGCATGTCAATGGCATGCCCAAAACGCAAATAGTCTATAGACATGCCATTTATATATATTCCAAAATATTCCGGACAAAAAGTGAATTTTGAGTAGGACTGAGAGCAAGGTTCTGGAATATTCCGAATGGTAATGCATAGGGTTGGATCAGTCCCAAAAAAGACCGGTCCGGACCGGTCTTTGGACTGGGACTGAAGGTTTTTCAGTTCCCGAT